ACATAGTGAAGATGTTATTCTTTGCAATTTCCATCAATAATGACATAACTACACTATTGTATTACGCTCTTGAAATAAGAATTGTAGCATTACGCATTAAGTTAGCATCAGTGCGTTAACATTGTGTGCATTTGAGGCGGTCCCTTCTAGCTTCCTATCGCTGATTGGATTCCAGTGGCTGTGATGTTGCACAAGTTCTAGCGATGATTGGATCCCTGTGACAGTACGTTGTATGCGTTCAAGTGTTGATTGGATTCTTGCAACTGTTACGTTGGACGCGTTTAAGCGTTGATTGGATTCTTGTTACAGTGATGATGCAAGAGCTGTTTTTTTCAATGAAACGGCTGTGGCATCTTGCAGAGACTCCTCAGTGATGATGATGGACTGAAAGTGGAAGTGTGCTGGACGTTCCAAATTTTTGGGTCCTGCTTTCCAATTTGCTATGTTTACCAGTTAATGTATTACCCCTCTGGAATTCCACACTGGACTCAGGAAAATGTGCTAGCCTCACTGAGGCTCACTCTCAGTGAGCCTCTCTACCTCAAGCTCACTTTTGAGTCCTATAAGTAGACCAGTGAAGTATCATGGATACCTCATACCAGCATTATCATACTTGAGAAATTGGTTAAAATCTTGAGTAAATGAGGAAACTAAAAATGAACTGATTCTAAAAAATATCTGGTTTGTGACTATGGTGCTAGGTGCACGGGATTTATATTGTCATTTTATCAACCTGCGTCATAATATGCTGGTAAAAGGATGCGCCATGCACCTAGCTCCAAAACTTGTTTAACCCATCAGTCAAATACTGCCTGAATTTCTGGCAAATTCTGGGTCAAAAATTGCAAATTTCACTTTTTCTGTTTTTAGTCTCACCTTAAAGCTGACATTGTGACCTATCCAATGGTACCAAAATCATCTCTGTACGCCAGGGTGCAGAAGGTGGAAGCAGCGTTGCCAATATATGGGTTTTTAAGCCCAAAGCGTCGCCAACCATTTTCAAGATGCGTCGCCGGGTAATTTTTAATGAAAAGCCATTTACGCTGAGTAATGAAAAACTAAAAGCTACAAACTTGTTTACAAGGTTGCATGCATGTGTTACCCCAAATAACTAATTTTACCCTAAAAACAGTCTGATTGTAGAGCAAGTGTCAACTGAACATGTGATGATGCAGTCTGACCACTCTAATGTGAGCGCAACTACATTTTGTTTACATTTTTTTGGCAAAACTCATCTCAACCAATTTCCGGACAAGCTTTACTGCATCCTGATCCATCCAACGTACTACCGGAAACCTTACTTTTTTCTAAATAGTTGGCCTAAGACTGACAAATATATTAAATGCAAGAATTTCAGTCTCAATGTGTCGGCAAGATCTTCTGAAGGCGTAAATTTTGCTACTTGAGCGTCGCCAAAGATCTTGCAGTATTCATCCACTCTCTGCACAGTGGTCTGTACATTGATTTATGCCTTGACGACTGTTTGCATAAGGGTTAGGGGTGGGGGACAGGGGGAGTTCTTTCACATACAAGATAGGCGAAAATTACCGGCCATGCACATAAATAGACGAGCTGAAGACACTGATATTTAGTTACCTGACTGCTGTCTTGTTGGATGGTGCTCATGCAGTTGTTCCCATCATCCTTGACTGAATTTCAGCTCCAGTAACGTCTAGTCTTGTATCCATGCCACCTTGAATGCCTATGTTGAGGTGCTTGGGACTTTGCCGTGCTCTACTGAACATTCACACTTAAGTCACTTATTGTCACTGCAAACCTATCTCCTCCTAGAGATTTTATGCTACAGCAATGAGAGATTTACCTTTCGATTTGCAAATAAAAGATCTAGAGATTAGTTGACTCTTTTTTTTCTATTTTGTTATAGTTTTGAAAATATTTTGGGAAAAGTGGGGAAATTTGGAAGGGTGGGGGAGAAGTCAAAATTTTTTTGAAAGAGGCCCACGCCACCCACAAAAATTAGAATTTTGAAGAACAGCAAGGACCAATCAATCAATCAATATATATGGTCCTTACGCATCGAATGATATGCATCTCAATGTTGTAGCTTGAAAATCCTAGGAGGATATAAATATCTACAGTGCCCCCTTTTTGGCTGTTTTCTAAGAATTTCATGTTTTCTTTCATTTTTTCGGAAAATTCACACGAATAAAATAGCCTTAGATTTGTCTTTTACATATGTGTACGTACCAAATTTTGAAGTGATCCGTCTGTAAATAACCGAAATAAAATTTCCACTAGAAATTTAAATTTTTATTTTGGTTATTTACAGATAGCTAACTTTGAAACTTGGTACACATATGTAAAAAATGAATCTAAGACTTATTTGTTCATTTGAATTTTTTGCAATTTAATGAAAGAAAACGAGAAATTATTAGAAAATTAATGTTCTTTTAAAGGCGACTTGAAAGTCCGATTTGGCAATAAAGGGTTAAAGATGAATGCATGGCAACGAATCCATCACACACAAACATATATCTGCATCAAGTTGACTAGATTTCTAATATGTGAATCCAGGTTCTAAGAGTTGGCACAGTTATGAATATTTATTTATTATTCATAGATCATAATTTGGTTGGACATTAATTACAAAACTGAAGAATTGAAGGCAACAATCCACATGGCTTGAGATTGGTGTCTTATAATGAAGGACTGATTTTGGCAAATAGTACAAAACCATGTGTCTCTGTTGGGAATACGTTACATTCCCAACATCCTCCTGGCTGGTGGCATGGGTTTGTGTGGCGTAAACCCATTGAATAAAAAAATACAGGCACCAAACTTTTTTTAATTATCAATTCTCATTTTTTGCAACTTTGAAGGTTAATTAGGTGTATGTATAGACAAACAACAAACATTAATAAAATATGAATAGCATCAAGGGACACATTACCACACATGTGTAGAACCACATCACATGACACATGACAATGTATCAGCATTATATATATACTGCATTACATAAAAGTCTGTAAAAACAATGTTGCCATACCATTCCGTTTGGAATTTCTGATGACAGCTATGTCTAGACATATTATATTTACAAAAATTATTGCACTCAAAAATTATTTTCCATTAATCAGGATAAAATTATTTTTGACTTCATTCATTAACCGTAGAACCTCTAATAACCGTATGGTTGTTCATTGTATGATTAGAATAGTGTATATCAAACAAGCAAAATAAAAAACTGGCAGAATATTTGATTACCTAGATATGGAAGGTAAACAAGCAATGTTGCCATAAAAAATTTTTAGAGAATTTAATTTAAAATAAATTTTTAGATTTTTACTTCTACAAAATTTTCATATCAAGGAAAATCATATATTATTGAAGGATAATTAAATGCATATTGAATATTTTAAGTTTTTTGTCTGTTTGACTGTTCCTTGACAAACTGTATTTGCACTGGATGAAATGGATGACCAGAATTTGCGCCAACATCTGTGCAAACATAAAATTTAAAACTTATTCTGCAAGAGAAAATTCCCCAAAAACCTTAATAATTCTGAGTGTAGGGATTTGCCAGCCATGATTCCATTTCTTTGAGCCATGATTTAATTTATTTGAGATGTGATTTAATTTCTTTGAGACGTGATTTAATTTCATTGAGACGTGAATTCCATATCTCAGCCATCAAAAGCCATTTACAAGCTGGCAGCCATGAACTTTTAACTAAGTCCCGTTGATGTGTTACCCCTAATCTCTAATTTTACCCTAACAAACTGTCAACACTAACATTTGTCTCCACTTGAGTGGCAACTGATCACGTAATAATGCAGTCTGACCGCTCTGACACAACTGCAACTACACGATCTATAAGGAAACGTTTTAGGTTGACTTGTTGTTGTTTTGTTGTGCAGGATATTTAAGCCGGATCATTGAAATGGTGCGGATTGCAGAAGTAGGAAATTTTATGAAATGACATGCATGGTGGAATTCTAACCTATAGTGCTCAAAGGCACTTGTGGGCGGAGTCATGTCATCTCCCATCTGTGATTGGTTGATGTCATTCTTTCTACACTGTGATTAGTTGATAGGATCATGATATCATCCTCTCAAGACTGTGATTGGCTGATAGGATCATGATCTCATGCTCTCCAGGTTGTGACTGGTTATAGGATCATGATGTCATGTTATCCAGACAGTAATTGGCTAAGCAATGGCCGTTCCATTGGTCATTTAAAACCCCCCTATAATTGCGGTTTGCATGCCACAAATATGTCATCGACATGTTTGTGGCATGCAAACCGCAATCTTTTCAATCAAACCAAAATACATGACATTATAGCTGCAAGATTTCATACCTACTGAAATTATATGATATTAGAGCTAGAGCTGGGATATTTCTAAAAAAATAGGACTTTTCCAGCCCTGGGTTGACTTGTTATCATTACGATGACTACATTCTGCAGGATATTTTTGTGGGACCGTTAAAGTAATGCGGATCTTGGAAGTTGAAAATTTTATGAAATGACATGTTTGTGAAGTGCAAACTGCAATTTTTTCTGTCAAACAAAAATACATGACAGTAGAGCCATGATATTTCATACCTACTAAAATTATAGGATGTTAGAGCCGCAATATTTCAGAAAAAAAGTAGGACTTTTCCCGACCTGCTTGATGGCCTGGAAAAGTCCTATTTTTTCTGAAATATTGTGGCTCAAATATCATAAAATTTCAGTAGGTATGAAATCTTGCAGCTCTAAAATAATAATTATTCATAGTGTGAGAAATATAACATTGCAAAACTAGGATGAAAGATGAATGATTTTCTCAGTGTGGAATTCTGGATAGGTAATATATTATCATGTTAACATGATAAAAGGGATTGAAAAACCTACCTACCTCATTACACCTTCCAACACAGTGACAATTAATACACTGAACTTGTCAGAAACTGCAAACTTTGTGCTTCCTCTATCTTGCATGCACACGATTCTAAATCTGATACCGAGTCTGCGATCCCTCCCTCGAATATATACATACACTAGTTGTATATCCATATCAACAAATTTTTGCAATGAACATGTCCTAAAAAAAATTACGACAACTTTTGCAGAAAATTCTCACAATTTCACCAATACCAACAAAGTTTTTGAATCCACATGAAATGATGGGATAAACTGCAAATTATTCACAGCATATGGGCACATTGTGTTGCCATGTAAACATTTGACAAGATGCCACTGTGCAGAATGTGGGATCTTTGGCGATGCATTGGCAGCAAAATTTATGCCTTCTGAAGATCTTGCTGACACTTTTGTATTGAAATTATTGCATATGAGAAATAACTTCAAAATTACTGGAAATCTGAAGGGCTGCAAGCGCACACAGTAAAGTTTCCAGGATGCCGGAAGGATCAAGATGCAGTGAAGCTTGTCCAGAAATCAGTTACATTGTGTGTGTTTCGGTGCATGGATAGTAAAGGATATACTATCAAAGTTACTTGCAGCACTTTCTTATTAAAAATTACCTGGCAACAGATCTTGAAAATGGTCGGCAACGCTTTTGGCTAAAAAACCATATCTTGGCAACGCTGCTTGCACCCTATGCACCCTGGACAAGATGGTGTCAGGCACCTTGCTTTGGTATTGTGAAGTTTGATTTCACAATAAATAGATTTGATCCACATTCCACACTGAGATTTGAATGATGGAAAGTTGTTTCAAAATTTAAGCACCCATTGATATGCTTCTAGATATGAATTTTTTCTTGTTTTAGCCTATTATGTTGAATTTGTCTTAATAACTTCACTTAGAGCCTGAATGATTTTGTCTCCCATCGTGAGTTTTCGAACGTCTCGTGTCTTTTAGAAAACGTTGGTTATTTAGTAGCAGTAGGTAATTATTTTATTTTTAAAAACCAAAGAGTTTAGTCATGCAACATGTGGCATATTAAAATTAAATAGTGGTGATGCTCGAGGAATTTCAATCCCAAAAATTTGTGTATGAGTATTCAAATTTCATAATTTGATAAATGAACAAAACACATAATTCATTTTATATATAGATAAATACAATACTAAAGTTAATGATCAGTTATGAATACAAGGAAAAATTATTTAAAATGGTTTCACAACTTGAAGGACCAGCCCCTGAACAAGTATGCAAGAGGTATTTGTGATTTTAAGGCTCAATGTTTGCAGAGGTTATAATAACCAGTCAGTGGCAGAACAATGCGACACTACTGCGGCAACCCAACGCTCGGGTTGGATTGAACAGCCTTGGCAGGGATTTCCACAGCTGCTGTGGGTAGAAATAAGCGTCAAGCCTTTAGGGAACAAAGGTAAAATTTTAATTCACACATCCTAAATTGAATGAAAATGATTGGGTTTGGTAAGTATTTTATGAACCTCATTTATTTATGGTAATGGAAATGTCCCTACTATTTGAAAAACTATTTTTTGAATACACTTGTGAAAACTAAAGTTCTGTAACCAATGGAGTCTTTGAAATGACAAAATTGTTACATTTAAAATATGTAGCAATATGAGTGAGATCAATCATCATAGGAGCTGTAAGAAAAATGGATTGTTATTGACTTAAAGAAATGTTTTTAATTCAAAAGTATGCAATACCTGATTTTCAGAAATATGCAAAAATTGATGATCTGTATTAGAATTCAATAGACGCAACATTTTCAGAATTAAATTGAAAAAATTGGTACCTATTTAGAATTATAATTTTGCAAATTGTATATATAATGCAGTGCACAAATTCAAGATCACCTATGAATATGAATTTAAGTCCCATGACTGGAGAAGATTTCAAAATTTATTTTACTAACACATAAGCGTGATATAAACATTTAATCCTTTTGATGAACAGTTTATTTAGGTTTTTTTACCGTAATAGGTAGAACAACGCAACATATTCGCGGCCATCCAACGATCAGTTGACATTCTGCTCATAATAAGGCTTATTAATGGTGTACGGTACTAATATTGTAGTAGATACATCATCTAAAAGTTTTGATGCAAAGATTTTTATTTAAAAGATAATTTAATTTGCAATTGTTTAATCCATCTTATAGATATAAATAAAATCATTCAATTTATTTTAAAAGCATTTCATAAATGCGCATTAGAATATTTCCTATGAAGCAACCTAGTCAAAGTAACCAAATAATTCATTTAAATTTTAGACTTCTGCAAAAAAAAATTTCAAACCTCTATCAGAAATAACAAAATTAACCATTCTCATGCACTAAATATATGAATGATAGTCAATTAGTTGGAGACCGTCAACCATGATCATTCCAGTAGAGTAGACCTGAAATGAAGCTATTTCAGTTGCATGCCAGCTCTTGTTACGATAAGTAGTTATGCTCCTCTGAATTGCGTGTTTAGTGTGCATCATGGAAGACTGCTTTGCAGCATAGTTGTGCAGCATTTATAGTTGCAGATAGGGAGCTGATAGCACAGTGCAAAACATTATCAGTATATTATCTACTAGTTTTATGTCCTATAAATCTACCAGACTCAACCCTCTAAACGCACCGACTAGTACTGACTGTGCAAAACCCTGCTCTGTTCCCATTCATGCAGACAAATAAACCAATACTAAACATGAACTGAACAACAACCAAACAAACCTCAAACAACTTGAAACCTGGCTTATGTTATGAGAAAAGCAAACACTGTTTGAAATAAACATGTACACAATTCAAGCATTTTATTTCTATTCACTTCATTTAATTATTTTATATATAGTTTTATAATTGTTTGTAATTTTTTGTTTCTAGTTATAAATTCACATATTTGAGGAACAAAATTGAATAATTTAATTAGAATACTCGAATTAGAGTGGAAAGTCTTTTAATGTTTTGTTTCTAGTTATAAATTCACACATTTGAGGATCAAAATTTCCTATGTCTCCCCAAATTATATAATGTAATTAATATATTACAAATAGTCAAATAGTTAAAGACTACTTATAGCCTTATAAGAATTAGCTAAGCCGCAAGCTATGTACAATGTATTGCAACACTTGATGCCTCTGTACCAAAAACATACAATTTATTGGAACCTAATACACACTAAAGGCAACAAGTTTATATTCCAATTTATCATAGTACATTTATACTAAACCATGAATAACAATGCATCAAAATAAATTAAAGACTGCCCCTCTATATGTTTCAATAGATAAAAAAAATATACAAAAGTGAAAAAAATCAATTTTTTTTTATAAAAATTGAGTGATTTAATCACATGACTTGATCAGTTTCTTTTAATCATTGCCAACTCTGTTTTTAAGTATTTAAGGAAAATCATTATTTAAATCCAAAAAGGTTATTTGGAAAAATTATTTCAAATTCCTGCACTTTTTGTTGTTTTTGAACATGATATCAAAGTGAGTGTGGCAGAATGTACAATGCAAGGCTGGTTACTTCTCTTATTGACTCAGCTCTAACCATGGTTCCTCTTACAGATTTTTAAATAGTTGTTAGGGTGAGTTTGTCTCACCATGGAGGACCGGACAAGTTGCCGGCAGACAAATGGCGTGAAGCCTCCACAGAATGAAAATATTGCTAGAGGCCGTGGCAATGGAGATATTAGAACACCACTGATACAAAACAGAAGAGACTTTGAGGTGAGCAGCTCTTTTATATTTAAGTATTTAATTTTTAATTTGTGGCAACTTATGAAAAAATTACCTGTATTAATTTTCTGCTTTCTTAACATTTGACTTGTCAACATGTTAAAGCTCCTACTGCTCAGCTGCTTGGATGGATATGAATTCACAATTTTTTTAGGAAGAATTTCACTATGTCTGTTCAAAATTTTATGAGAAAAGCATTCACATAATAGATGATTTGAAGCAGAACTTTTTCATTCAAATAATCTTATCATCAAGATTATAAATTTCACCTTAGTTAATGTTACAATGGCTTGAGCTTAAACCACTATGAACCGTTTTTTGTCTGAATCATTACTTGTTTTATTTTTCCACACATTATTTAACACGTTGACTATGATTGCTTCATCTTGTACTATTATTTCATTTTTTGTACTGTTTTTAAACAGGGTTGCCAGACAGTCATTTTTTGCAGACCAATTCCATGATTTAGTTTTTCTCAATTGTGTTAGCCGGCTAAAATTTATAGTATGGGTACTTCCTAATTAAATTTTAAATAGGTACTACAAGAAGAAAATAAATGGAATTTTTATAGCGGAACTTACAAATAAACTACGTAGTACATATTGAGTTATCGGCCTTTTTGGCCTTTTTTTGCTCTCTGATTTGGCCGATTTTAGGCAACCTGAATTATGTACTACTATGTCCTGGAGAAATACATTTTGTGGTATGCATATGTACCGCTTCAGAGTCAATGTGTTAATGGAAAAAATATTTGTAAAATGTAGAAATGAGTTAGCCATTTAAAGGATTAGAGCTCTAATAGTCTGAAAAATAAAACCTCTTAACTTAATGTGCCCTCCTGAAGAAGCATGTTGAAGCAATGAGATGTTGCAAGACAAATTACTTGTTAGTCATTCCTATATACCTATACAGGTGTGTGTATATAATTACTAATGATTTGTGTCCTCACAGGGCAATGCTCATCGAGGTGCAGGGAGAGGTGGTCCACACATAAACAGGTCAGTTCATTAGTGTCATTGTCATTCTTTTTACAGAGATGGGCTTCCCTACTAACTTTGTTTAAATTTTCTTCATTTGATGACTTGAATGAAGCTTCAATTTCAAAGGGCTAAATGTCATTAACCACATGAAGAATGCATCTCAGCCTTTGCTTGAGTGCTCTATATATAGCCTGCAATACAATGACTTTTTCTGTCAATTTGATGCTCAACATTATTATTCCCTTACAGCAGGTCAAATTGATGAGATCATTTCTGATTTATTGGCAACATTGCTGTCCAAACGGTATTTTATTTAGACACAATTAGCAATTCTTTAAATAGGAACAAATTTAAAGCCAGTTTATTACCACAACCAATTCTGATCTATTCAAGTCTTGCAAAGGCTTATCTCTTATCTGATAGTTGTGTGCAAAGCACAAATTCTTATCATGCCCTCAAATAATATCACTTTTAGTGTATACAGATATGGTATAAGCAATACCTAACCTGGACCTTGCTGTACATATAACATGATTTCCTACTCTTTTTTGGGAATAATTTTGTTATCAATTGGCATTTCCTACAACACCAGGAATGACTGGCAAGCAGTGAACATGTTTTGAAAAAATTTTTATCATCACACCGCATAACAATGTTTAAAAAAATTCATTCAAATTACATCAGTTGCCATTGTGGCTGATAAAATTTCAGTCATTTTTTGTATTTTTTTTTTACTTTACTTTGACTTTTCTTTTGCTAGATTCTGTTGTGTTCCTGATTTTTTCATTATATATTTGCCCAGACTAGGTAGTTTTAGCTTCTTTGCATTGATTTTTGTCTGTTCTTTCCTTTAAAAATTGTAAATATAATGAAATGATCTTTGTTATAGGATCTACCCTGGGCAAAACATGAACCGGTATCAACAGCAAGGATCAAGTCCTTACTACAACCAAAATGCTGGCATCTTTGGTGCAGCCCCACCATTCAACCATCACTACCAAATGGGGTACAACCACCAGGCACCTACCCATTATAGTCATCATGGACCCCCACAGTACAACCACCATGGCCCTCAGCAGCAGTACAACCAACAGAGGCAGTGGCGTCAACAGGGCAACGGCGGAGGTGGTGGTGGGCCCTGGGGGGTGGATGACAGGGTTCACAATCCTTGCTACAACATCGATCCTGAAATGCAAGACCTCTTGGATGGCGAGAACATATCCTTTTTGAAGAGGGTTAGTGTCAGTGTTACAGGCTTTCATATTTTGTGTTTACAAGAGTGCTCCTCTGTTTGATGCTAAAATATTGGTTTTAATTTCTACTTGCAGAAATATTTCACAGTGCAACCATTGTGCAACCAAGCAAAGTGTTTAAATTTAGGCCTAAAAACATTTCAAAAGTTTCACAATGGTAGTGAAATTTGTCAAAATATTACCTAAATTATACAAATACTTTAAAATTATTCTAAGTATTTTTTTAGTAAGGTATTATGTTATTTAAATTCAGTAGTGATATATTTTTTTTAGCATTAATTTGTATTAACATATTCAATTTTTTTTTTATTTATTATTTTGCTGTTTATTTACCTATGTTAAAATTGTTTATCAGAAGTTCAGCAGGAGTGGAGACAGAAATTTGTTCAACTGTTAGAGGGTTCTTATCATAATGAAAATAATAATGTTGGTAAGCTAGATATTCCTGATGGCGAAAAAGAAGAATGAATGCATAGATAGACTTAGTGTAGCTAAAGCACAGCAGTTATGGCACATCCAGGGACTGGTGTTGTGTGCCTCAATGTCAGGAACGTATAATTTGTGAGTAGACTTGGAAAGGGAGTTCTTATCTAGACATCCTTTTCCCAGAAGAGAATCAAGAGATATCTTATTGCATTATCTAGCAAGGGATATCTTAATGGCATCTAGTGATACTGACCTTTGTAAAGATCATGAATACTAATTCCACTTAACCTTAATGTTGAGCCACTTTTCTTGCTTTATCAACGTCACATCACATATTTTCAAGATTACAAAACATCGACCGGCTCTTCCTTTATTTTTTCCTGTTCCAATAATTGGAGATGGCGAGGGATTGATTGATCTTAGCCGACACAAAAGAGCAGCAAAAATCAGCGCGAACAATTATTTCAAAGATACTGCCATTGTTTTTTTCCATGACGACCTAAGTCACATCTGCCCCATTACAACTATGAGAAAATAATGAATCTGGGTGTTATGTTCTTTGGACTTGTGTAGAAGAAGGGATTTCATTTATCCTAAGATTCTTGGGATGGCATTTATAATTTACAGTTTCAAGATTGGGTTGTCCTGTAGTTAGGTTAAGTTTACCACTACCGTAATGAGGAAAAACGAATTATTTTAAAAAAAAAAAAAAATCAGCGTGAACAATAATTTCAAAGATACTTCCATTGTCTTTTTCCATGACGTCTTAAGTCACATCTGCCCCATTACTACTATGAGAAAATAATGAATCTTGGTGTTATATTCTTAGGACTTGTGTAGAAGAAGGGATTTCATTTATCCTAAGATTCTTGGGATGGCATTTATAATTTACAGTTTCAGGATTGGGTTGTCCTGTAGTTAGGTCAAGTTTACCACTACCGTAATGAGGAAAAACGAATTATTTTCTCTGTTACATCTATTGAAGTCTGATATGAAACTTCTTTAAAAAGGGCTGCTTCAGCAAATTATCAACACCTCGGAGACCGATTGAACAAACTTACAGATGTTTGCTTTTGCACAACTTTGTTATCCGAATAATTAGCATCTTCCTTTGTTTTTGGTCTGCCATTCTGTTACTCGAAACCTGAACTAAACGTGCTGTCCACAAACAACACAACAATTCTGGATCGTCATTGACAAATGCATTGCCTACTATTTGACGAGTTGTCAAATAGAGACTTGATTTCAACTGTGAAATAACAGATAATGATCAAAAGCAGTTCCTCCCCATTCTATATGAACGCCGTTGTTGAATTATGTAATGCGGTGGAAAATGTTCAGGCGATCTAGGACATGAACTGGACTAATTCAGTGCTATTGATATCGTATATATCTGATACAAATCCTAATTTCTTGAATCCTGGTTCATATCCAAGAATCTGGAATGCATTTTTATACTTTTTTTAAGAATATCCCTTGGTGAAACCTCTTCATGTTATCTATTTTGAGTTAAAATCTTGATATTGTCTAGTTATATAGTTTAAACCAATTTTTAAGCTCCATAAACTGATGCATTAGATTTCCTGTTAGCATTTGTGACAAAGAAAATTGTATTGATTCTCAAGATTAAATAGCTTGGTTATCATCACTGCTGATATTTTGCAGAAATCAGTGCGGTTCCCGAACGCCTTATTTTTCTGCCGTCTGTGTGAGTTCCACATGGATGACCTCAAGAGCTGCATCTCCCACGTCCAAAACCTGCGCCACCAGAGGCTTGCTACGGTTCGCATGCATTCTTCATGAGCTTGGAAACATTCCATTCTTTCATTAGCCTAGGATTTTACATTTTAAAATAAAGTTTACATTTTTTTACATTTTAAGATAAAGTTTACATTTTTTATCTCTATTCTGTCTAAGACTATTTATTTTCTTTTGGTTGGTTAAATTACATTTCAAGAATTCTTTAGTTTTTCAGCTTTGAGTACTGGTTCCTAAGTTTTGAACTAGCTTTGTACATTATCACTTTCCATCAATTGAATTGAATAATGAAAGTTTTCATGAAAAAAATTTCCAAGTGGGTGCAAAGATTTCTTCTACCTAGTAAGAATTTAGCTAAATATTTTTATTAATTTTGTATGCCTAACGTAGCTTTTATTTCTACAGGAAATGGATTTCAATAAATTTCTGAAGACTCTGCCTATGGCATCAGATGCCATGGCTGAGGCTGTGGGAGATCTCATCCTGCGCACATCAGAAGAAGTCGGTCTGTCTCCTGACGACGTCCGTGAGAGAGAAGACGCCGTTGCTGAACTCCAGGCGAAGCTTAGCGAGGCCATGCCTGGTGAGTCAATCCTTAGACAGTAGAATGATCTAGTCTAATGCTGTTCTTCTGAAAGTGGAATTCGTCTTGTGGTCAAAGTGATGGTATGAAACAGTTGAAATGTCTGTGCCATTTAGCATCAAATAAATCTAACATTTTTGCTCTCCTCTTGCAACATCTAACAAAGTTTTTTTCATAGACTTATAAAACTATGATCACGATACTTACAAGCAATTGTTCTGACCTTGCAATAGTTGATTAACTTATCTATGTATTTTCAATGTTTCACTATTTTATCCTTGTCCATGTAATTTCTGTATTTAAATTATTATTCTTGCAAACTTCTTTGTGTTACTAGCAACGTTATTTTGCAGGTGCACATTTAGAGATAACAGGCTCGATGTACTCTGGCCTAGCACTGAACACGAGTGACGTCAACGTAAGCCTGGTCTTGCCAGAGAATGTGTCGCATTGTGAGCCTCTCATGGAACTCCTGCGAATTATTAACGAGACTCCCACCTACACGTCAGTAATCTTCCGTATAATTTTCTTTTCTTTTGTTTCTTAGCTCGAAGTCGTTTATTTGAATAAATGTTGAGTACCAAGAGCATAATTTCATCTTTTAGGGACCAATATTTTGTAACAATTTTTTTGCTTGTAAAATGTATGTATGTATTACTTTGACAAGAAAAGACGAGACTAAAAGTTTTATCATATTTAATGAAATGTGTGTAATTCCTGTGTATTTATTTATGTCATACAGTGATGTGGTGAATGACCTGCGGTCGTCTACCTTCCCCTGCCTGTCGTATCGCTCCGAGAAGCACGGCGGATGTCGCGTTGTTATAGGCGTGGGGTCTGCCTCGGTGAGGGCGATGGGCCGCCTCATGGCCACCTACGCGGCGCTCGACAAACGCTTCCTGCACATCGCTAGAGCTCTGCTGCTCTGGGCTAAAGTGAGACTCAACCCTTCCTCTATGGACTCGTTAATAATATCAATGCTATTCGTACCTATGCTTGGTAACTCAAGTTATCTTGTGTGCATATTAAATGTCAAAGTAACGAGTTGTGTTCTGCTGGGTGAACGCATTAATCAGAATTTCCATAAGTGCAACTTTTGGGTTAGATTGATTTCATGTTTCATCCATTTCTGTGTTAGTGGTCTTTCGCAACATAATTCTACATAGAATTTGTGTCGTTATTATTGTTGCAAAAAAATGAAATCGTATTAATTTGAATAAGTGATTCAAAAGTCAAATCTTTGGTGAGGAGTCTGATCAGTCTCAAAATTTATTCACGAGTATGTCCTAACTGCGATTGCTCATGCACAAATCATCTTGCCAGATGTGTGGAGTTTGTGATCAGAAGAAGGGCAGCCTGCCATCTATCGCATATGTGGTTTTGGTGGTGAACTTCTTGCAGCAAACACAGCCTCCCGTGTTGCCGGTGCTGTCTGTACTCTGCCCTTCTGGAAAACCTGAAGATTTTCCGCTGCCCAAGGACGTCAAAACGAATTTTGTGTCCAAAAACTTTCAGTCCATAGGTGAACTCTGGCTGGATATGGTCCGGTACTTCGGATACATTTTTCAATTCAACTCGCATAATGTCAGCATAACGACCACCAAGCCTTCTCCGCGTCTAGAAAAGAACGCCAAAAAAATGAGCATTTTGGATCCTTTCAATTCGAAGAAAATACTCTCGCGGTCGCTTAGTAACTCTGCCGTGTCCGAATACATCGTAGACAAACTGTTCAAAGTGCTCTGTCGGTATTTCTGTGTACCACAACTGTCTTATGGACAGCTCTTTTTCTCTCTCACTGTCAATGACAGTATACTGAAGGAAAAAAGGCGCAATTGTGACCGGCAAAAGTTAAGCAGTGACAGTGACAAGAACACTGAGTCCGAGACTGAGAATAACAAAAATATCTCTGACTATGACCTGGCCATGGATCGACTGGAAGACCTGAAACTAAGCGACTCGGAATGCGAGAAACTGACTCACGGAATTTCTTCAGCTGATGATCTGTCGCACACTTTTGACTCAATGACATGTGGCGAAGCTTTACGCTGCATCAAACTTTTAAAGCCTTGTCACTTGAAGTATGCATTCAATCAAGAAACATTCACTGAAGGAGAATCCGTGCCTATCTATTGCTCGCTCTGCCAAAAAGAAGGCCACATCCGAGATGACTGTGAAGAAGAAAAACTTCCCGAACTGCTACCGTTGCCAGATATTGATGCAGAGCAAGATAAACTTCTCACCAATTTACTGCGTCGACTGTTGCATGAACTAGAACCATCACCTGAAGAGGTCGAAAAACGTGAGAAACTTGTAGAAAAACTACAGCACTTCGTAAGCAAGGAGTACAAGTACAAAGATGCGGTGCTTCAACTTTTTGGCTCTTCAGCCAACGGATTTGGTTTCCGTAACTCTGACTTGGACATCTGCATAACATTCGAAGATGAACGCCACAAAGACGCCATTGATCACAATTTCCTGATACAAGATCTGTGTCGAATACTACGAACGTCAGGACAATTCTTGAACGTGCATTCGATCCCTCAAGCAAAGGTGCCGATTGTGAAGTTCCGCTGTGCCATGACCGGCCTGGACGGAGACTTGTCTCTGTACAACACCCTGGCTCTGCGCAACACGCGCCTACTCAACATCTATTCACAGATCGACCCTAGAGTCAAGGTTAGTAAATAATTCCGTTTTACATTTATGTTCAGCGGCATATTGTGAAAACTCAACGACTTCCAAAAAGATCATCACGTTGGCATTTACATTCCCGTAGAAATAGACTATGAAAAATATCCATTATTTTTCAGCATAATTGATATAGATGTTTGTAGCAAAGTGCTAATGAAAACTAAATCTCGTCTCGGAACTGAAAAACTAGCAAGAGTTCTGGTTCAGCCATTTAATTGAAACTGATTCTAAGAGTGAATTTCGTTGTAAAGAATGAATTTGTTTTGTCCTATAGAAAAACATGATCAAGTTAAGGCTATTTTCGAGTTCTGTTTTAGCTGGCCGCTCAACATTTTGGACCGACCGCAGACCTTGTTTGTTTCTTTCTATTTATTGGATGGAAATATTTCTCTAGAATATGTGAACTGATAATAATTCGCATAAAATAGAAACTTTATTATTCAAGTGAAAATTCTATTTTGCGATGATTTGAAAGGAAAATTAACCCTCTTATTTCCAGTGTTGAATTGCCAGTTTTAAGAATTATATGGCATGAGAATGTTCACAGCAACTGTATAAACAGTATAAACATTGTTAGTCACAATAATTGCTAGTCACAATATCTGGCATTAGCTGCCTCGCTTATATCGTATTTTACAATAATTAAATCACTAAATTTCGAATCTTGGTGCTATTTCTAGCTGGAAATTTTCCTTAGTAACTGTGATAGAATCTCCGTAAAACTTCTCGATTTCATTTTGGTTTGGGCCCTTGACCACGTAAAGTGCACAATATTCTTCAGCTCATCCCCTTGTCTGCAGACACATTAACCGTTTATAGTGTTTTTCGTATCTTAAAGTCTGGTAACCAGACTTGTAGTTAGGAGATTGAAGGTTATACTTCTACTGCTTATTAACACGTTCACTCAAAAGTGGTACATAAGCGTACCACGAAATGTATTCCTCCAGGACGTACCTAGTGGTAGATGGGAATTCAGGCTTGCCAGATGACCCAAAAAACGGTAAAGTCCGCTAACAAAAAAGGCCGAAAAAGGCCTATAACTCAACATATACTAGTATATTTGTAGCTTCCGGTGTAAAAGTTCCATTTATTTATTTATTTATTTTTGCAGTTTTTAAAATCGAATTAGAAAGTACCCCTATCATAAATTTTAGCCGGCCAACGCATCGAAAAAAAACTAAATCTTGGAATTTGTCCGGAAAAAAGACCGTCTGGCAACCTTGTTTCAAAATAGTACAAAAAAATGAAATAATAGTACAAGATGAAGCAATCTGAGCTAACGTGTTAATCGCTGTTCTTCATAACAGATGCTCGGCTATGGACTCAAGTACTTCGCTAAGAAGTGCGACATCTGCGACGCGTCACGCGGGAGCCTTTCTTCGTACGCCTTCTCTCTGATGCTCCTTCACTTCCTGCAGCACACGCAACCTCCTGTCTTGCCCGTCCTGCAGGAGGTGAGATCCTTAGACACGCAACCTCCTGTCTTGCCCGTCCTGCAGGAGGTGAGTTCCTTAGACACGCAACCTCCTGTCTTGCCCGTCCTGCAGGAGGTGAGTTCTATTGGCGTAATCTGTAGCCTCCTGATGTAGCATTTGCACCCTGCATAGAATGTGTTGAAAGTCTTATATGATATTGTTTTGTTAAATTATTCCACTGAAAAGTTTAGATATGTCCAGGGGACATTCACGGACTAATTATGGACTTCTTCGCCGTACAATTTTGCCTACTCGTAGTGTGCAGTCTTTAAATGAGTAATGGTTATCTTATCCAAAGGATGTCTGTTCAGAGGAAAAAAGTACTTTGGTGACAACATCAAATGCACTTTCCTGTTGTTTTATTCTGAAAACGTAATTTCAAGTGAAATTATTTTTCTTGGTTTCGTTACCCCAATAAGAGCTTTAAGAGAAAGTGGCAAAGGTCGCGCTCATTAAAATGCTTCTATGTAAAAACTATGTTTTTGTACTGAAGTTAGAAGTGATTTTTCAACATTTTTTTTACTGTGAAACACGAGTTTTATGTTATGTTTCGAGCACTACAGAGTACAGATATTGCTCTCCATAGCTACAGTATGATGGGCTAATGTTTATCCTATTTCGCCAGCTCTATGACCCCGATGAAGGCAAGCCTACTCCTGTGATGGTCGAAGGCTGGGACACGTGGTTCTTTTCTGACCTGGACAGACTAGTGAGTGAAGTCTGAGAGAAAATTCTTCCACTAAGTTATAACCACGAGAGTTGTTTTCATTTTGATATAATTGATTTTTTATATATTGAGTTGCTAAGCATATTAATCACTGTGATATATACCTGTAGCGAATAGGTTTAGTTTGGCCTATCTCCGAGTCATTCTTTAAGCTTATTGGCGAAATCGGAAATAAGATTTCAAGGGCTGGCTAACTGCTAAGTGCAATTTAGCTGCCAATAACGGCCACGATGTATAACTAACGATGAAATGAGACACTTCTTATCTTGTTTATTCTACGGAGAGATTTTATGTTTATTCTACGAGATTTCCTTGTCATTTAGCGTGATGTTTGGCCGGGACTTGGCGCGAACAAGTGCAGCGCGGGACAGCTGTGGCTTCAGATGTTCTGCTACTACACGGAGATCTTCAACTTTGACGACTGCGTAATCACCATCAGGCAGTTTGCGCCGCTAACGCGGCTTAAGAAACTTTGGAATACGCGCAGTATTGCCATTGAAGATCCCTTCAATCTCAACCACAATCTGGGGGGCGCTTTGTCTGCCAAAAGTAAGATAGTATTACGGTATTAATTTCATATAAACGATATTATTCTTCTTGGTCCCATCAAAACAATGCACTCAAATTGAAGAAGGAGAGCCTGAAAAACAGAGAAGATAATTTATTACGATGTGCCCAATGTAACAGAGGATTGCTTCATGATCACGATGCATATCTTTACCTTCGTTTATTTTCAATCGAAATATCCGGTTTCAATGTCTTATGCTGTCAATTGTCAAGGCTTGTTTCTATGAATAATTATTGGTCTTGAATATCCTGTTGTCTTCACTCAACGGTTGCCAGATGAATTCAATACATGTTCATTCTTATGTTGCACAGATGAAGACAACTCAAGGTATTGTCAAGCATTTTGCAGTAAATTAAATGAGTTTTTGTGTTTGTTGCTTATCAAGTTTGATACCCGCAGTGAACACGTTCATCCGCAAGGCCTTCATCAACGGTCGTCATCTCTACGGAGGCCTTTTAGACGTGGTCGATCCTAAGGTAAACTTTTGCAGGCGCATTTCTTCCCTCAATGATCTTGTGAATACTGTTTTTGTTCTAGGAAAAGATCATTTCTTTTCTCAAGGGCTCTGAAGGCGTGAGTCACCAACGTAGGACAATGCCAGAATAGGCAAAGCTGAAATTGTAAAATTAATTACCATTTAGATGTTTCTCTAAACTTTACCGGTAAATTTTAGGTTGTATCTCTTTGATTTTTAAGTTCCTCGGGTGCAGAATTGAGAAGTTGAAGATTTTAAAGGTGGCATCATGAATTGGATTTCTTCAAGATTTTAACTCATCTTGCTAAAAATTCCGAGATAACTGGAGTTCCAGGAAGGGAAATGGTAAACATTGAATGGTAGAATTATTCAAACATAGATTGTTTCATCGTGAGTCGAAGTGTGAATAGTCAGAACACTGAAGAAATTAGTGTACGTCTTCTTGTGCTTTGCTTCAAAATTGCTTTGTATGGCCGCTTTGTCACTAATTCAGTGGTTCCCAAACTTTGTACGTTCGTGGACCACTTGGTATCAACGCTGCGTATTTGTATTGTATTATACATATTTGTATTTTTTCTTAGTTAACGCAATTTGTATTGATTAGAGCATTAAGTAAGTAAATTTTTTTAAGCGGCAAACGGTAGCGATTGCAAATCGTTGCAAGATTATCGTTTGTTAGGTTGTCGGTGTTTTTGTAAAGCACAAAAAAATGAATAAAGCACTAATAATTTACTATGACTCAGAGGCGTTTACGTAACACCCAGAAGACCCTCGCACGTTCCACTAGTGGTATCCATATGACTGGTTGGGAACCATATAACCATAGCCAAATATATTGAGTATGTCTCAATTTTTTGTTTCCAAAGCAGTATAATTATTCATTTTGTTCCTACTCTATCGCACGTTATGAAAATTGCTGGCAGTTTTTGACTTCCAGTATTCCGTGCTTGAACTTTATCGCAATCTTCAATGTATTAGGCAATCTTTATTTACATTGAAATGATCTCCATCACAACCCTAATTTGACTTCCAGTATTCCGTGCTTGAACTTTATCGCAATCTTCAATGTATTAGGCAATCTTTATTTAAATTGAAATGATCTCCATCACAACCCTAGCATTTCTTCTTTTGAATCTCTAAACTTCCTATACAATTTGTTGGACATTGCAGCAATTTTTTCATGTTACGACGTCATGATAACGTTATGATAATTTAGAGCTCTCGTGATTTTTTTAACGTCATGTTTCTGTTTAGGATGCCTTATTCATATTATTTTTACCTCCAGGACGACCCTGCGCTGTCTTTGTTTGACCCGAAAATCCTGACCTGCGGCGATCCGCCCAACGACCGAGGATGTCGCCGCTGTGGTAAAATTGGCCACATCGTCAAGAACTGCACCGGCCGACGCGACGCTGACTCGGCAGGTGGCAAGAAAAATCGCGGCGCCAAGGGGAAAACCGACGGCGGGCGTAAAGACGTTCCTTCCGATGGCGGGGCAGCAGCTTCTGGTCCTGTCAAGAAGCGGGACGACAAGTGCTTCATCGGGGAGCTAGGCATGCGAAAAATCTACAACGCGTGCCCGCCAGACGTCAAATGTGAGAAAATAGAATTTGCTAAAATCCTAGATATTTTGAAGAAGTTGCTTGTGAATGATCAGAATAGAGTGGATGTTCTGGTTTCCGGATACAGAGTGTTCACAATTAAGTGGTTTTGTAGTCTTGAGTGGAAGGAGAATTTCACTCTGCTTGTGCCTGATGAGCTCATGGAAAGTAGAGAGCCTTTAGTTATTGTGCGAGTAGCTTCGCGACCATTTGGCCGTGCTGAAGACGACTATGTCATAGGCTTCTTGAAACACAAGAAGTTCTTCGATGAGTACGTCGTGGACATGTGCCTGGAAGGTTTTGATGACCAGCCATCAGAAGGCGTATTTCTTCGCGGCCTCACCGATATGTCAGATGAGCGCAAAATGAGGCTCCATCAGAAGCAGCAATCAAAGCGCCAGATGAGGAAGCTCGTGAAAGTCGTGGACAAGAACATGCGTCACACGAAACAGACGCATCTAAAACAAGCTGACGCTGGGTGCAGTGGTCTGCTTCCCGTACCCCAGTCACCAAACTCTACCGAGAAACGAGGTACACTTGTTATTCAAAATAGCAACTTCAATAAGAATGTATCTCTTGGCCTGAACAAAACTGCTCCATCACCTGCTGCGACACACGTCATTTCTAACCGAGCTGCATCCAACTTTCAAAACCTTGACATGAAAATGACAGCTCCTGAATCAAAAGTTTCTAATCACAATGGATTTCCAACTGCTGGTCCATTTCCTGGTGTGCCACGAATTGCCCCCAGCAGTGGCAACCCTAATGCAGGCACTCGGAGCTCGGATCTTACCTTATCCATGAACGGTGCTATTCCAAAAGCCACTTTCAATGCCACGAGGTTGTCGAGTGTTCCAGCAATCGCTGTCCAAAACACCATCGCCTCAAATTCCTCGTCCACCGCCCCAGCTTCAGGTTTGGCTGTGGAAATCTACCCATCAATTGACGATGCGTCTAAAAAGAAGAAAAAGAAGAAGAAGAAGAGTAATTTTCATCCTAAAGTTAAGAATGATGCCCAGGAAGTGGCGTTGGCTGGGAACAGTACGGCCAAAGATTTCGATGGTGACAGCACGAATGTTGCTCCTAAACCATCTAAAAACGCCAGAAAGAAACTCCTTCGAGAGCAACAAGAACGCGCTGCTCTGCAGCCCAACGCCTTGTCTCCTAGCCTCCGCGTTACCCTCCCCAGAACTCCTTTAGAGACCAGAAAAGTTGTTGTCGTCAAAGCTCCGACTAAGTGAAACCATCAGTAGAGGGGGAAAATGTTTTTCTTCCTGATTATTTCATCATCGTTTTTGCGATGATGAATCAATGATGGTAGACCAAATTATTCTGCTTCGACTTGGGGAGGGGGGGTCCATCACTTGGATTACTTCTATTAGTTAATAGAGTTAACTTCTTCCCATTTAGCCACGCGACCTGGTCTCTTTACTTCAATTTTCCCTTGGCATTTCTTTTTACGTGAGAATTTTTGAATTTTTTTATATATAAAGGACCTTGTTATATTTTAATGGTTACATCAGTCGTGTGTCTGAAATAACTTTGCTTATGCATACTTGTTAATTTTTTCCATCACACTTCTGGTTACCGGATTTGGAGTATTTAATGTCAGATGTGTTGATGGTCCTTGCATTAGCTTTTGTTATTGTAAATTTAAATGCTTGCACTCCCATTGCTATTTCGAATGCGCTCAATGAATACTTTGACTTATATATTGTATTATATAATTCACTGGCAAAACACAGTCAAAAAAGTCAGTTTCTCGGTGGATCTTGTTAGCACGGCGAATTATCGAAGCTTATCTTGCATGAATTTCACCGACACCTAAATGTTGACTCGTTTCTATCTGCAAACACTCATTTTGCTTGTTGATTTAACTGCCAGCTCATTAGTTAATGCTTAATGGCAGTTGATTTCTTTGGAGATTTTCGTCCGAATATATTCATTCAATTACTGTATTCCAAATGTTTCTGTCCGTGAACAATGCCGTGTGGCCTGTGCGTATTATCGCGCTTGAAGCTTGTCCTGAACTAATTGATTTTGTCTCTTTGATTGAGTTAGTCGCATAACGAACCGTCATGCTTGTAGTTTTTCTTATCTCGTTACTACTCGCAATTTTTCACAATATCGAAGGCTTTAACTCTTTCTCGATCTCAACCTCTCGTTTTTCCAGGTCAAATAAAGCGCAAAAACTCGTCAATTGTCGCACTTCTTCTAGCGCCAAGCAAAAATTATTTATCATTCACGCAGCTTCTCAATCCATATGTCTTGCAAATTAACCTTATCGAAATTATGTTACTTTTTGTGCCATAAGCCAAGGTGATTATGCTCATCATTGTTTTTTAGGAAAGTCTGTACTTGACTAAAGTATGCTGTCCATGTAATTTGGTGATTTTCTTCTTGTACGAGTGTGTTCAGTGTGAACAACTTCGTCAAAATGAAAATTTGTTCTGAAAACCAAAATTTCTCTTTCTGCCAAACAAGCTTTGCTCTGAAAGCTATTTTTATCTGTTCGGTTTTCTTGGCACAAATTTCAAAATCATACGTAATGGACGTTACTGTTACACGCGAACGAAAGATGTTGGAAAATGATTTTAGCCTATCTTTTTGGAAAACACCACCTTTGTCCAGATAACTACTAAGTTGTGGCTATCGACTGGCGCTAATTTTGAGCGCTTTATTGGGAAATTCTGCAGCATTAACTTCTTTAGTATGTTAGATGTTGATAGGAAATTATGTATCATTTTGCTAGAGGACGCTTTACTTGGATTTGGTAGATATGTATTTTTTCACAAAATTGACGCTCACCTCGAGCGTTTTACCTGCTCGGATGGATGTCTTGAAGAACGTAGCTTCGCCATTTTCGACTGTTACGTTTATGGTTTGATTTTTCATTAATCTAACTCAAAGATATTGAATTCGAATTCTGGCTTTGATGCTTTGGATTGTGCTTGAAATCTGCTTGCATAAGATTGCGTTTTCAGTGTTACCTGCGTCGCGATGTCACCTTCTGGACTTCGTTGGAACGGCGTGTTATTTCTAGCTAATCAATTTATGAGTTGCATCCACTGCCCCTAATATTGCCTTGACCAGACTTTGTTGTGAATTCCAGCAGCAAATGTGTCTCTGAAGCTCTTCTATTCGAATTTTATGAATGCCCTTGATATTATATCTGTCGGCTGAAGTGACATTGAACTACAAGACCCTTAATTATCTTTTCACTGATTTTAACTTTACTCTAGGTTGAAATTCCTTTAATTACGATATTCCTGCTTGGTTGCGTTTGCACCTGACTTAATCTGCACGTGACTTCATAGCGGACTATTTTTAGAGGCGCGTGTTGAATCATGTATCCAATATGTATTTCTTGTCCAGATAATGGTTCAAATTGTGGAGCCAATCTTCAGTTCTGCGTTTCATTATAAAAAAATGCATTTGTTCCCTCGAACAAGTTTCAGAAGGAAGCTTCATTATTTTTCGTGTAGTAGAACTTTTAAGAGCTTTGGCTTACGGAAATAGATTCACGTCATTTTTTACTTTGCCTTAAGCACTTGAAGTTGACAGTGTGATATTATACCCAAGAAGGCATTTAGCACCTGAATGCATTGAATATTTGTGCACCGCTCCTATTAATGATCGGATAAACTTCGACTGTATATGTGCACTGCATTCAAGCAATGAGTATATTGTATTACGTGTATGATCGTGTCATTAGTGGGCTTTTTACTCTTCCGTTATTTTAACTGTTGTGTTTTTAGTAAGAATTCCTACTAAAATCAGCAGTCTTTTTAACTTTTTATGTTGGCTATTTCTTCATTTAACAAAAGTTTTCCTTGCCCACTATTGGGTGACGTTCTGTAATAAGAATTATGTAATTTTGCTTTTTGCACGTCCCTCGTATCAGCGTAAACTTTACTTCTCCCAGATTTTGTGCTTAATAAGATGCATATTTTATGATATTTTTCATAAATTTTAACTTTGATTGAAACCATTGATGTTCGTTCATTGCTGTTTTATTAGTATTTGGAATTTATGTTGCGGCCAACTCACCAGCACAAGAATTAATACCGGTACCGGTATCAATGTGGAGATGCTGAAGAGGCAGATAAAGTTACAATTGTTTTCCAGGATGCTGGATGTTTTTCATGCTCAAATAATCTTTTTTCAATTAAAGACGCAAAACAGATTTGGCTGCACTGAAAATGATGTCAATAAAGTATTTCATCTAACGACGTTTTTCCATTGCCCGGTCCTCGAGATGATCGTGAGCACCTGGTTTGGATAAAATATGATCTCTTTGTGTTCCATTTGTCCCTTTACAAACATATAAATTAAGTACATTCCCTTCATATCTTGTTGCAATTTCTGCAACTGGGACTAAAGAGGTGATGTTTATCCTTCCAGGTGACACGAGCTGTTCAGGTCAAGAAGGTAGGGAGAAGAGGTCTCCTGCTGATCCTACAGCTGTCCAGCAAGTTGCTACCTGCATGTCCAGAATGCTGGACCAACAAGAAGGTCCAGCCAGTTCCTCCTGGAGGTTTTCGCGTGGGGCTGACCACAAACTTGAGGAAAAATCCATGAGACTTTCTACCCATAATGAGGCAAGTTTGGTCCTTACCGAGGAAAAACGACAAGAGAACCCTTTTAGCATGAAAATACCGGGTCAAGCTGATGATAAACAGTCTTCTTCAACTTCTGAAAGTGCGCAAGATTCAGAAAATGATGGTTATACATTCGGTACAGCCATAAACGTGCTCCAGCTCTTCAGCATAGCAAATGAGTGTGGAGGAACTTTGAGCTGCTCATCTAGCAATTCTCCAGTCATGGAAAAGGCTGTTCACTTGACATCTTTGGAGGCTGGTAATTTTAATAATTCTTCCGAGGATACAGCGTTAATTGAACATGAAGTAAGTCGTGGACAGAATCCAGGTTCAAGTGAATGTAAACAACCAGTACGGCAATCACAGCGTTCTACGGCAACGGGTTCGGCTTCCGATGATATCGGTGAAGGTACTCTTCCTCACGTCTCGCTCGACCTTGTCCTTCATGGAATGGAGGAGTCGCAACGAGCTCTTGATGTTGACCGCGAAGAATCTTACTTCTCGAATAGAGAACCTGTCGCTCCACTCACTGAGCCGAGTTCTAAAGAATATTCACCATCTACCGAGTCGACTAGTGTTCTTCCCTTATCTAGCTTACACAGACCAAATGCTCCCAAGTCACACCCAACACCAAAAGTTGATCCCGACATGACACGTCTAACATCAACATCGCAGACGCAGGATTCCCAAGCGATGTTCACCACAGATAAGTTCTCCATGCCTCTTGATCAACAGAAATATCCTAGTGCAGCTGCGAGCTATGATAGATCGGCATTTGGTGCGGTTGGGGTAGGCAGCTTGACGTTTGCCAGAGAAGCTCTTGTGCCGAGTTCCGGTGCCATAGGTCCGCCTCCTGGCTTTACAGCTCTCCAGCGAACGCCGAAAATCATGCCCTCATACGACGTAGCTGCCACGGTGAGTCACTAAATCAGCATAAGGTTTCCACAGTTAAGAGGATAGAATACTAAACAGTCGAATAAAACTAAAGTACTGTTAAAGTTGTATTATCCGGTTAAAATTCTTCTATTCCTTTGATAGTGGTTATTGCTTCTCTATCGCACAATAACCGGGTTTTCCTACCCTCCCCCAATAAAATTTGATTATTTTGCTAAAAATATACTAAAACATGAATTATACCCTTAAGAATTTCGCTCGATTCACGTTAACTTTTCACTTAAGCTTACGTTTACATTTTTAGCTGAATTAATTGAACTTACACGATGTTCAGGGCTCATACTTTCAAAAAAAGTTAAGAGATCGTAAGTTCATTAGCCAATCATTGACGACCTTTCGAGCAAAATCCACCAATCATAGACAAGAAAATGGAGCGTAAGTACTTATATCCACTTAGCCAGTTTTGAAAGTATAGGCCCAGTTCATCTCTATGGTATATTGAATCAGTTTAGGTATTTTTGGGCTCACCCTGATTTCTTGACTCTTCATAATCAGGGGAAATAAATATTGATTCTTCAGCAATTTCAGTATCGTGCTAGTAGGTATATTTTCGTGTATAACAATGTATACCGATTCTATTGAATTTTCCGATAATTTTTGACAACCAGCATTGGATTTTCCTTTAGAGTATTACCTTGTTTTTAACGCAAAACGTAACCACTTAAGTTTAGACATTTTTCATTCTTCATTTCGTTCTACAAAAGCTTAATTGAAGGTACTGATAAATATTGTTCAAGTAGGTATTCATCATTATGTCTGACTTTTGCAACGTTTTATTCTTGAGTCTCAATTCTGGCAGGAGGCGAGTGCTTGTGTGGAGAACAGTGAGGCTTTTGGCAGCAGTGGCGACGTGAAGGTGAACGCACCCAGCGAAGGCGAGGGGGTATCCACCTTGACGGCTTTCTCTGCAACTTCCTCGTATGACTTAGTGTCGCAACCATCTGTCATTCAGCCGACACTACCATTTCATCCGGCGCCTCCTGGGACGCCTCTGAGTTCGGTTGGAGCTTTCGGCTCTTCAGGACCTTTCGCGTCCTCTGGATCCCCATCCTCTCTTGGGACTCATGGCGCCTCAGGATCTCTGGTGTCATCTGGGCCATTATTCGGTGTCAGCGCAACTTACGGCAATTCTGGGGCTTTTGGATCATCCGGAATGTTCAATTCCTCTGGGGCCTTCGGTTCACCAGGCCCTGTTGGCTCATCTGCAACTATGAGCTCATCTGGCGGACGGGCAACGAGTACTTCGCCTCCTGCTTTACAGCAGCAGCAATTTTTACACTTGTACCCACCATTCATGCAAAATCAGCAACAGATATCCACTAGCGTGCCATCTGCAGGTTACCCTAACGTGGCCATGACACAGCAAATGTTACTGCAACGCCCTGCTGTTTCTGGCGCTGAATTCGAGTCGCAGATTCAGCAACAACTGCATAGCTTTTCGCTTCAGCAGTACCAACAGTTCATGGCCCCAGGGTTGGCTCGTAGCACTCAGTCTCAAATAATAAGTTCTGCGCCACCAAATCCCATTTACTTACCAGCGTCTTCTCTGGCCCATTCAAACACGCATCAGCAACAACTGATGAACAGCACACAGTTAGGTGGGCCGCCAACTTACTTGAGTTCTGGTGTCCAGTTTATTGGTAACCCTCAGCATCAATACATGAATTCATTCCAGCATCTGAACTGCTCTCAAAATAGCAATGGATCCCCACCTGTGACCTTCGTGAATACCGGTCAGTACTTGCCAACGCCTCCCGCTTCTCAACCCTTCGTCACCCAGTCATCCCAAACGCCCAATGTATTCTCGCAACAAATGAGCAGTGCGGCGCCGCTTGATCTCGAATCATCCGCTGGACAAGCGCCCTCGAACCCTGTTTTTGTGCCCTTCATTCATGCATATCCAGTACAGCAACTTACCCAGCCTCAGCAGAAGATTCAGTTGAGCAACAAAAGCATGCATGGACCACCAGCAAACCTGTACTTAATGCCGCACTTGAGTAGCCAAGGTCCGGTGTTCTATGGACGACAAGAAGACGGTACCTCTTCCGTCTCGCACGGAGGACCGCAGTCGTCCTAGCGCCTTTAGTGGTCTAGCTTCTAGTGATTAAGATTTGTTTTGATTTATTTTCATTCCTGAAATCCATTCAACGTAATGTACAAATTTTCTGTAAAAACGAAGTCTTCATTTCGCATCTGAGCATTTGTTTGCTTTGGCAGATAACTGTTGACCTTTGGTAACATGAGAATTTCGCGTATTTTTGATGGAATTTCGCAAACTTAAATGGACTGTACATATTTCTCTATGAGAACGTTTTTTTTATGGATGACTACAAATGAACTAAAGGTTGTGCTTCTTGCTTGACAAATTCCATATAATTTCCCCAGGATTCTACGCACCACAGGAAATTTTGCATTCAAGTTATTCCGCTACTGGAAATGTGAGCATGTCAATAATGAATGTATTCTGTTCAAAAGGTCTAGCTAAGTGGCATTTTTCTCGGTCCTCTTTTTAAATTAATTTCATGTATTTGCTGTCCGTTTACAAGCAAAGGAGCAATAATGCTTTTTAGAAATTGGTTGTTAATTAGTTAATGTTTCTTAATTCGAAGAATCAACCAAACCATGCTTCTTTTGTTATATTTAGACATGCTATTTTGTATCACAAGCTCTGTTGGGTGTGTTTTTTACTATTTAAATTTATTTCGGGAACTACATGCTGGTTTTCTTCGGTTTCAATTCTGTTTTAATTCTGATACTGTACTTCAATTCTTAAGGTAAAGTTTCGTTGCGATTCATTGCGTATCAACTCGATTCAAGAAGAGAGTTTTTAGGGGATTCTCTTGCGGCTGTGATTTTAGATGTATAAGTTTTAGTTTAAACTGATTTTTATGGTGGAACTTCCTTGAGCTTGGTGATCTTACGTTCTCGAAAATTTTATCAACTTCACTTTTTGTACTCCCATTGAGTACCGTAACTTTTAGACTCTCTGGCTGCTTTGATCCCCTCCCCCCTTTGAATACCATAACGTATTTTAACTTGCTCGTCTGGGCAAGAACTACTCGACACTTTAATTTATTTGACAACACCGTAAAGGGATTAATTTAGGTACGGGAAAAGTTGATTAGCTCGATGTTTACATTATTTATTTGTTGTTGAATGCTTTCCAGATTCAGGTTTTGGTACCAATTCTTGAACTGAATTGAGAGCTGGTTTACGAACGCTAGCGATTTCTGAAAGACCAGATACATGTTACGATTTATAGGAGTGCTTTTAGTTTAGAGTTCAAATTTCACGCTGAAATTTGAATTGAAAATTTTTGTTGTCGATAATGAGAATCGTTTGCAAAGTAATTTTTCACCTAGACTCCATGGCGTCTCCAATGGTTAGTTTTTTTTTATTTCACTCTCTAATTTTGCGCGATGTAAATTCATGAAAAACCTGAATTCTTTCATGCCTTTGTCTTTAACTTTTATCTACAAAGAATGTCAAATAAAAGCATAGCGTGCAGATGCTTGAGTCGTCCTAAAAAGAATGCAACTCCCGGTCGTACATGTTCCCAGTACAAAATGTATATTCCTAATTTATGACGTAAGCTTTACGTTAATATCGCTCTCTCGCAGTAATTACCTATGCATACAGTACACCGGCCCATCGAGCGTCACGTGAATACTTGTCAATTTTATAGTTTAATGAATTACTTCGATTATGAATGAATTGCTTTCTACCAGATGCTCCTAAGTCGTCCGCTCTCGACTGCTATCCGTCCATTGTGGAGCGAAACATTTTTCTGACCGATATAATGCATGAATTGATTCAGCGTGTCATAAACGCCTCTGATCTCTCATAGGGCCACATCAGGCCTACATTTCAGCGCCGACATCATTATGTTATGTTATGAATGTGACGCTCAATGGTTACCGAAATTCGCGCTAGCCGCGACTCTATAAATTTATCAGTTTAATTCAACAAAACGCCAGAAACAATCCAGATGCAGCTGATATGTACCGTACGCACCAGCATTTCTATATATATACCATCTCACAGCATTTTTAGAGCATTTGTTTCGTGAAGCGTATCAAGATAGTTTCTTTTTCATATGCGGAAAACTTTCCTGTTTTGCTTCATTTCCAATTACCTGATATCTCATTCCAATTATCTGATATATTCATTTCCAATCGTGGATATCTCGATGTTCTATGTTAACCCACTACTGAGCGCTTAAAACTGGATACAGATGTGAGTAGCCTATGGAAGTGAGATAAATATTCCACCCACCTGCGGAAGCGTTTATTATTATTATTATTTTTATAGCTGCTTACTCATCTTGGTTGAGGCCGAGAATAATCAATGGCTAATCGCGTTCATAAATAACTTGATGGAGTGGTGCTAATTTTGTTCACACCTAAAATACAAGTGTATGGGCTGAACTAATTCTTTTGATCACTTTTCTGAACGTACGGACTATCAAATGATATAGTATATTTGTTGTGCCTGCCTGATCATAAATATAGAAGCGCCCGAAGTGGTTAGAAGTGGTTTGTGCGTTTTCATTGAATATTTTTAGAAATTTCAATTCCCACACTTAGCTGGGTTGCCGGCGTTTTGTTTGATTTGACGCACATGCATTTACGCACATTTTCAGAGTTTCTTCTTAACTGATACTTTTTCACAGTCACCTTCCTCATTTTTGCATGTTCACTTCGTTCATTTCACTTCAGGTATGGATATTATATCTTTCTATTGCGTTTAATGATTTTTTCTTGATGTACGAGAGCATTGGTCTTTGGTTGGCATTTATATGTACTGTCGCATCGACTTTTTGCATTATTCATTCATATTAAGGATCTGTTGTAACTCTTTAAAATAATGTGTCTTTGATTATTTTTGTGCAAAAGTTATTAGCTCCAGTGTTATATTAAACGGCTATTCTTTGTTGCTCCTTACAAGACTGAAGTTCATTAGGTCTCTGATTTATAGTTTAATTCTGCGCTCCTAATGTTATTTTCTTTTCATTCATTACAAACCCATTTGGACAATTATTGCGGCGAATATTCATTAAGTTGTGTGCTGCCTAAATATGCCTCCAAATAAGCTACTCGTCTGCTATGAATAATGTTAAAGTGGGAACAATTCAGTGATTTTACGTAGGTTTCCGTTGTAGTCTCTAAGTTTTTGCAACTCTTTACAGAATATGTACGGAGCAAATGTACAACAACTTTTGGTGAAGATTTGAGTACATGTTTCTGTAGTTGTCGTGTACACTCCTAGATACACTTAGTCCAACCTAACCTAGCCTCATCTCTTCGCCGTATTGTTAAAACAATTTAATAGTAAAATCTGAAATGGAAAAAAAATCGGATGCGTTTCATTACTCCCTTCTGTAACGTAATTTTTTTCGTTCTACCTATTCTGTTCATGCGTGATGGTTCCAGTCTGAATCTAAAATCACATTCGTCCAATGAATTTTAAATAATGATCGATTGATATAATGTTTCAGGTGCCGTAACGCAACATATCTTTTTTACGATTTTATATTAGGTACTGTTGGAATGTTACTAATGTCTTCACCGTTTCATTCCACAAATACCTAGGCCTGAATGTGGCGGTGATAGGTTAGCTGTTATTGCCATGCCTTCACGTATGGTAATCCTTAAGATGTAAGAAGGAATTGAATCCTGGGTCTTGGAAGGATATGTATATGTGACGCATGGTTGAATTAATATAGTATTAATTCAACCATGTATGTGACGTACCGTTCGCAATCATCTTTTAGGCAACATGAACCCGAGAGCTGTTAAGTTTTAAAAGTATAAAACACCACAGAGTTTTTCGATTATCAACACGTATGTGCTCAAATCATGATAATAACCGGTAATTAGCATGAAGTCTAGCTACCTCCTTCCACAGGCTTCCGAATATCGAGGTCCTCGCCTGCTGAGTGCTGACAAGCATTGCATTTGCAATTTGTGCACTGCCAGTCTGGCGACAGCAGTGGTTAAGTGTGGTTGTCGTGGTTTTTCTTCTTCGTTGGCACTTGTTGCTGTAGTTTCTGCGAACCGTTGTTGCTCCCTTGCTATTTCTTATACTCCTACGCAAATATCGATAAAATTATTCATGTGATTTCCATAACGTACAATCGTTTATTTGTAACGTTTGAAATTTTGAACTTCGGTGTTACGCGCCTAAACAAGTTCTGCAAGCGGCTAAAATGTGGTTGTACCGATTTTTCTGCACCACCGTGCTGCTAGTTGGCGAATTTGGTGAGTTGAGTATAACATTTTAAACATTTTTACATTTAAACATTGTTAGATTTGCAATGTGACAATGATAATGCAATTCTATACGGTTATGGGAATTTTATGGAAAGTTAAAATTCAATATCCGTCACTTGCAAAAATTTCACCACTGCGACTGCGTCAAATAATTAATAATTATTATAATTAGCACGATATGATACATTCTACATTATTGATAAAGAACTTGCAACGCAATATTTAACCTTGCTGGCCAGTGGCCCCTGCCTGCAGTGGCTGAATCTTGAATTGCTATGCAGGTCTACCCGACCAGTCAGTTCACAATTCCGGTGTTCACAACGAGTTTAAACTCTTCTGCTTTGATCTGACTCCAAAAGATCTTGATATAATAATTAATTAATTATCTTAATTATCAAGAATTCAATTCAGATAATTATCATAAATTCATGTCTATAGGACTAAGAGCACTTGAAAAACCAAATTACTAATGTTAGGAGAACCGCCTATAGGCTAAGCAGGCTGAACGACGGACTGAAAACATATTCTGCTGAAACTGCTTTGATGAATGCCGAATCATCGATAGATTTATTATCTGAAACTACAGTTATTTTGGACTAACACTAGCTACGAAAAATCAACATCCCGAAATCATTTGTTTAGAGGCTGCATTTAAAATATTAAAAACATTACACAACTATAGCAGACAAAATTTAAAATATTTAATTGACCTTTGGATGTAATTAGTAGTGCATAAACTATGATAAATAACTGCATGAAGAGAAAAAATAAATTGCCATTTGGCAAGGTGAGAGCGCCAAATACTGAATACAGGCAACAGTCGTATTCGGCGGTTAGGGAACTCCGTTTTAATATTGCTGCTTGTTTGTGAGAGAACTTGGTTGTAATATTTCCACTTATATGGGTGATGTAATGAGTCTTTATTATCTTGTGATGCATTCAGTTCATAAACATTAGTGTAAATTCTAAATTATTTAGTTCTTGCACTCTAAAGCATTGTTTAGTTGAGAACTTGAGCTAGTATTTAATACAATTAAGCTTCATCTCGACTCCGCATTCCACAGTATACTTGTTGCATGTGATAAATTCACGTAGTCCTAGGAAATTTTTATTGCATACTTAGCTCAATGTGACTGTATTTGTGAGATTAAAATAGCAGAACCGGTGTCGTGTATATCAGCTACGGCTCGACGATGAATGTACGTACATGCATGCAGGCCGTCTTGACAGCGAGCAGGCACCCCAGATGACTATGGCCTTGAGGAGTTGTTAATTCAGTCGAGCTTTCGGTGTCTCATTTTCCTTTGTAAATTACTTGTCCAAACCGAGTATGTTCGTATTTTTTTTACGCATCCTAGGGGTAAATTCATTGATTACGATGATTATATTTAATTGGAAATGCAATTCCATTTTGTTTCTCATGAGCTTCGACGGAAGGTGTTGCATTTATGTTTTTGAATAGTTAATCTCATAATCTTTTCAAACAAAAAGCCTGAGACTCAGTGCATTGTTCGAATAGATTTAATAGTTAACTAATGATATATCAAGATAACAAAAATTTCATCTTGCACGTATAGGCTACGTATCGTTTGCAAAAAAATATTTTTTATACTAACTTAATAACTTCACAATACTTCGAATTCACTACTAATTAATTATCGTATAAATATTTTTACTCGCGCAATTTTATCATGTAAATATTTTTTCCATTGAACCTCCTCTCTGCTTCAGATGAAATGTACAATAACTGAACAGAGAACGGCACGTTCTTTTTCCTGAAATTTATATTTTAAAGTAAAACCGGAAGTTTATCCATCATATCATGGTAATCCATCGTGTGGACGATTAATTAACGCCCACGTACTGATATCCATTCACGATGTCAATACGGCTGCTTTCTTATTCTTATCATTTATTGACGACCGGGACTTTCTATTGCTCTCTCAAGCTCAATCATTCCTTTGATATTAAAGCTAGATTAGCTTCTTTCAGTCACGTTCTCTGCAGCTCGCGGGAATAAAAGAGTTCATTAGTCGGTTCGTGACGGTTTAGTGACGACGATTTTATTAGTCCTATTTATATAAATGTGATACCGGTACCGTGATATGGATGGATTCAGTTACAACTTTGCTGTAAATATCTCGTGCTGCTTGTGCATTAAACATTGATGTTTTAACAATGGAATGGAACAATGGAATTCTGTATTTTATATTTGAGAGAAACTGCATATATATGTGATGTTAGCGAGATAATTGGAACGAGCGTAGAATGACTCGACCTGTGAACGAGAAGTGAACGTCATGGCTGAGCCCAATTTTAAGTGCGATATTTTTTTAAAAATATTGGTGTCCAGACTAATTGGCTATTTCTTTACAAGAGGTCGATAACAGTTGCTCCGGTCGCCGTACTAGATTTTGTCTTCCTTTTTCACAGCGCTCACCTATGTACGTGGTGTAGAGGCGGTTTTGCTGCGGTGTTAAAACCTAACGATCATTCAAACTAACTCAAGAGTTATTCTTGTGATCCCACTCGGCACACTCAATTTCCGTTTTTTAATAAGTCCTAATTATTAAGCTCACTAGGATTCTGTGAAAATTCTGTGATTCCATTAATCGTACCAAAATTCGTTTTCAAGAAAATAGTCTCGTTAGTTGGTAATTTCATCGGAATTTCATTAGCAAATGTTAAAGGAAAAAAGTTCCGCAGCATTGGGCTGTCGTGCCTGAGTTGCACAACACCCTGAGGGAGGCGCGGCCGTTGCTGAAGAGGCTGAGGCGTTGGCACGTGTGAGTTGCTCTGCAAAACTGGGGCTCTAACGGAGGCTTTGCGGATATCTCGTGTTGTGGGAGCGTGTGGGTGTGGTCGATGACTAGAGGCTGTGTAGTCTATGTTTGACCAATGTTTACTATTTTCAAGGTTTCTAACGACAGGCGTGTTACTAATAATAAGCTTGAATGTAGCCTACGCAACCAGCTGACATACAAATAGCCTACAATTCTACAACTGACGGGTGTTCAGCCTCTGACCGGCATGCTTGCCGTCCAAGACGGGTTGGTATGTGATCAAGGCAGTTCTACAGTTAATTTCCTTTATATTTTAGAGTCTACTAGTTTTATTATTATAAAGAACTGATTGATGAAGTTTTATCTCCCTTCGTGGTAGTCGATGCATGTAAATGATCTTGAGTGCGTCAAACGTACGGTCATTCCCCTGTGGTGACTGGCGGAGGTATTCTCCCAATCCTTCCCGTGTTTAAAAGTATTAATAGTTATTAAAACTTTATTTTTTACCATCAAAATAGGTATTCTCTAACTAAACTCTTTCATTGATTTTGCATTGGCATATTGTTCCAATGAATGTCCAGATAATAGTATTATTAGTGATTAAATCTTTATTTTTTTACAATCAAATCAGATATTCTCTAACTAAACTCTTTCATTGATTTTGCATTGGCATATTGTTCCGATGAATGTCCAGCTAATATACATAGGTTTAATAATGCGAGGGCATATGAAGAGCGTCTCATTTGTACATGGCATTTCGTAGTCGACTAATTCTGCTACAACGAAAAATTTCATCACAGTAACAGTGACGCTAATTGAATACTGACTAGAAGTAAACAGTTTTTTGTATATTAAATTTTGAATGATTATTATCATCCAAAGAAGCGCGAAACTCTTTCAATCGAGGAAGTCAGATTTTATTGGATCGGAAAAGATTTTTCAGTGCCTAAGAGTCTATCTATTCCAATTCAAACGAACCTTTCGGATTTTCTTCCCCCTAGCGCACGACTCGTGGTTTCTCTCCTATGGAATATATCACCGTGAAGTGGCATCCGGCTATTGTTGAAGTCTTCCGCACTTTGTGACAGACAATGCGATGTGATCGAGCGCCGTGATCACTGGAGTCTTTCTTCAGCTCACTTCCTTCACTGGACTCGCGTTAATCATAACCATCACTCGAGAACAGTCGTGGCAGAAGTACGTTATCATTGTTATATTTAAGCGCCTGTCCTATGTACAAAATGCTATAAAAGAAATTAGGGTTAATTTAACAGGGAAAAGTGAGGTACATTGTTGCTTTTGAGTAGTAAGTTTTGGGAATACGTTATTGGCGTATTAGTCTATTTTAGTTTATGGGTTCAGTTAGGTTTTTAACCATTTTCAGTTTTATACTTCATGTGATATTATTCAGCTACAGTATTATTCGTTTCTGATGAACTATTCATGCTCTTGGAAGAGTGTTAGAGTGGAAAAAGTTTTGTTTATCTAGTATATAAGCTTTTGTTAACAAATTTATTGTAATTATACATGAGGTCTATCATGCATAGAATTTTCTTCTCCATGGAGTGTCAATCGCGTTTGCAGTCACAACAGAGTAAAAAACTCGGCTTAATTATGTTGCTGTCTAAGGCCTTAATATTCCTTGCTGATATGTATTTCTGTTGCACGTCATGTGACCTCAAAAGCCATCACTCGCACAAACCTCTCGTATTTGAATGAGAAAATTCCGAAATTAAAGGTCACTTGCGTCCGAGGCTGCGTCTCCATGATGCCGATGACCTTTCCATTCGTTTCGTTTTCGACTGCCTTATAAATTTTCATAGGTTTTCAAATCTAAGGTTTAAAAAAATGTGATTAAAGCTATAAGTTATTACCATGCAGACCATATTTTTTCTTGTACATACAAAAAACTATAAAAGAAAAACAGAAACACCGGCTTACTGATAGACTGATTACTCGTGTTCAGCGGCATGTAGTGTTTTTTATCTACCTGCATTAAACGCTCTGCATGGCATTACATGGTTTGTTCCATGTGAAAGGGAAAGTCAGCTTTTCAATGGAATCTCGTGCGTTCCGCTCCGCCGGATCTTCCTCAAATTCGATCGCTGGTCTTCATCCTCCGAAACTCCAAACGTTTTTAATAAAAAAAAATCGGCGTTTATTAGAAAGAGATCAGAAAGTCTTGAATATATCTTCTGAATATTA